TCCCCTGAAAAGGGAGAGGGCGGCTTAATAGAGGATTTATGGTACCTCAAGGGTTTTCGGTAAAATTTATAATCAGGTTAGAATTAATAAAAACCAAAAAGGAAAAGAAAAGAAATTATGTATTTACATCGGTAAATAAAATTTATCGCGCCTCTGCCGACGATAACAACACCGGGAACCAGGCGGGATCTAGCCCCGCGTAGCTGGCGGCGGTAGCAACGTTAGTGGGCGTGTGCTGAAATAATTAACTGGGAAGGTTCGCCCATAAGTACTGTAGTACCGGTAAATAAATATAATTTTACCGATAGAAAATAACTTGTAACAGTCAGGAAAAATAAAGGAAACGCTTTGCAGTAACAATGTTTCAACTGAGAAGAAGTTTGGACCCCTTCCGGAAACAAACATCTTGCATGGATCTACCTCTACAAATTAGATCAATCAATTAAAATAATGTCCATACATTTTGAAAGGAATAATTTTCGTAATTATTTTACTCTTGCCCAACACTGCAATTATTAAATGATACGGTCTCATAGTGTCTGCAATTTGATATGTCAGCAATAAAGTTAAATATTCATTTAACATTAATTCATTAACATAACTGTCATGCTTTTTTCTTATTCGTGCCGTCATGTAATACGCGTTTTGGCTTGCATGTGGTTTTCACCACACTGAATCATGGCGTCCTGCGGTGTAATACAATTCTTACAACTGTCCTTATCCTATTCCAGTTGTTTTCTTTTATTTTTCACCAGATTTATGCGTTTTATAGGATTGGGCAGAAAAGGAATGATATAAGTTCAATTTCTCCTTTTTGCTTGTATGTATGTATGTTTGTCTGTTTTTCTTTCTCGTTCGGCCTGAGCTGTGGAAAAACGATTAGCGGATTTATTTTAAATCGCTACAGACAGGCCACCTGGTTTTAGCATCAAATCTATCGCAACCCTTTTTTTTGAGTAGACGACAATACCAGCTGAACTAGACTTTATCAGTTCTGAGACTCAATTTTTTAATCTAATGATTCACTTAACAATAAACTAAATGACAGTTGATGTCAATACTGGATTTTGATAAAGATGGAGAATCTTGTCTTTAGCCCCTTGGAAAACATACTGAAAAACCGCTTTAAACAACAAATTAGTCGAAGTATTTTTCTTTTTCATTCCGGTTTAGTGCTAGACATAGATTAAGTTTCTCAAAGTTATTCCGCACGCAAGCTTGAGACTAAAACGTAAAATAAGGTTTAATATTTATTTGCTCTGGAGGTAATCGTTTCTTCGCCATTTGTTCCATTCTAGTTTTAGATCTTACAAATAGGATCCTTGCCCTTATAAAGTAGCTGTTAATTATTGACGTCACAAGTTATTGCGGAAAGAATTGTCAAATTTCTTATTGGAGGTAAGTTTTCACTGTCGTTTTATTGGTTCTCATTTGTATATTTCTGTCAGGGTTGGAAAGGCAATAACCATTAACCTGACCTCTCAATCAAAGAAGATTCTTGATTGTTAGTTTAAGGCTAAATTCAGCCCTTGATTTGTTTACCGAGTATCTCACTTCATTGTCCTCCGAGGTCGCAGACGTTGTGCTGTTCTTAAAATAATCCGAACATGCACAAGCGTTGTCACGGGTAGAACACGAATAGGTAGCCTGCGTAGCAAGCGTTTCTGTGCGGTCTATGACCAAAGAACAAGGAACGAGAGTCAACTGCCGCGCTAAAAATGGCGCAAGTAAAAGAGCAGGGTGGGGGTGGGAAGGAAAGGAAGGAAACGCTTGCAGACAAACCCCGGGATTCTTGACAACCGCCCACTTGGTCTGTCATGCCTGAGTTCGCGCACCGACATTTGATGCTGTCATCAGCTGTCATAATTGACCAATAAAATGTTTGGCCTTCCGTGGAGCGGAAATGAACTTTAGAGGACGCGTGTGTGAAACCAAAATAATTTATTTTTTGTATTTTGGAAATGCGTGGACGGCGTTAATGGTGAAATCTCAATGAATCCAAACGATCAATGCGGGCTTTGCACGTTTAGTTACCAGAAATCGGCGACATTTTGCGCCCGCGAAGTATTTGGCACGCGGTTTCAAATTATCAAGATGGTGGCATAAAGAAAGCAGTACGTAGAAAAAACAAGGACTGAAATGACACACTATCAAAGGATCTGAATCAATTTAATTTCTTTTTTGAGGTATTCAATACAAGGGAGAATGAAAAAGGAGAAACTAGAGTCCGGGCTCCTGTTCGAATGACGATTTTAGAGAGAAGAAACAACTTCGTTTCTTGCGTGACTTGGCAGAGTAAAGAATAATTTTCAAAAATCAGGGCCCGCAGTACACTTAGCCAGCGATATTCTGTATAATAATAATCATATATGAAGTACCTACCTGTAAAGATGGCGATCAAAACAAACTGGCGACAGAAACCCTACTTTTAACAAGGAATAATAAGCGCAGTGGTGCGTTTTGTACCGCTTTTATCGAAGAAATGGATGTATTTTTACCTCTTTTATCGCAAATTTTGCGGCCATTTGGGGAATGGATCAAGGCTGATTTTTATCACGTTTTAAAGTTTGAACATCGATCGATGATTAGAGAGGTCGGCACCAAGGGTTCACATCAACAAAATGTTCTAAAATGTGGAGAGAAGGTAGGCACCTCAAAGCTTTTTTGAAAGAATTAGAGAGCTCAAGGAACTGTAACAGCCGTTCGTAAAATGTGTTGTTTGCGGTCCGTAGGCGAACTTTCGAGAGACCAAAACTACTGTAAATAATGATATGGTACGTACACTTTACATTTAGAGGTCGACAAATGTCGTGTGTGCTACTTTAGATCTGAAATTTCCACTTCTTCAATTTTCTCCATACATTTCTCTATAACGATCGGCGGCCATTCTTAGAGAGCGGAAGGTCTGGGTCGAGTCTGGGCGTCCGCCATTTTGTCTTAAATTTCTTGTAATGTGTTTTTTTAATCCGTCTAAAAGGAACGACCACAAGGGTGAAGTTTTGAAGTTTTAGCTCCAAACCTCCATATGGATTTGAAGTGGTAAAATGTGACAAGCATTCAAGTCAAGTATTTTCGATACGCGACGCGTATTTATACGAGGTCAAAGCTCAGCTAGACAGAACGTCTTACCGTTCTCGCCACGGCACAGAAAACTAGAGTAGCTCTTGTAAAAGCGTCTAAGAACAAAGTGAAAGCTAACACGGCAACTGATCAGAAAGTGGCAATAATAGAACAGTCGCAATTCAAAGATTAACCAAGTAATCATTGCTTCAGTCAAGATTGCTGATTTTCGCAATGCACTTCTCCATAGTTGATGTAGCCTCAGCTTAAGGTGCAATCCATTCTTGGAAATTCACAATCCAAGAGAATTTAACATCCCGCAAAAAAACACTAACGAGCTGGGCCTAGCATGACACATTTCAGGAAACCATCGCAGTCGCGTACAAAAGAAAATCGCTTTTAGTTATTCAGATCCAGGAGGCACTTATGGATAACAAGTTAAACGACCTGAAACCCTTATTTAGTCGCAAGAAGAGCTTTACGCCTCCAAAGAGGTCAAAGAAAATGCTCTTGCATTGGAAGGCAAATCTTGTGTCACGTACCATACATGACCTCTCAGTAAGAAACAAACCTTCGAGCACAGGGTCGATGCTCAGTAGCCAAGCCTTCTATCCTAACATGGAAGATAGGTCATGTGCATCATCGAATGAATTTTGCTCGAATCATCGAATGAATATTGCTTGAATTATCGAATGAATTTTGTTCGAATCATCGAATGAATACTGCTTGAATTGTTTCATAAATGTAGGAGAGAATCGAATGCATGTCAAGGCGAATTTATCGAATTTTGCTACAAGTTGATCGAATGTATTGAACAAAATCAAATATATTTGAATTTTATCGTCAATATGTGGAAATTATCAAATACATATATACGCGACATCGAATATTGACACATTTCGGCAACCATAGTACATGACTCTAATAACAGAAACATCGAAACAAAAACGGCTTAAAAGGACCGTTGCAAGTGTGTGCAATGATGCACTACTTGCTCGCCAGTGTCTGTTTTTTTTTTTTTTTTTAAGAAAAACAATGAACACACGAACTCGATAAGTACAGACAACAAAAATCGCAATTGCGATTAAAAGGTTAGTTTTGTCACACTTGTACGATTCACACCAAAGAACTATAACTGTGTAAGTATTGAAACTTCTAGTGCTTTGCAAACTGTTTAAGGATATTGCTGCGTGCTTTTTTTTGTGAAGTATTTGATACTCATTACAAATTTAGTGAAATAATGTCTGCAGCAAAAAAGTTGACATTTTAGGTTTACCCCGATATAACGATATTTTCGGTTATTTAAAGGTCATATCGTCATATCGGGAGTTTCCATAAAACGATTCCTCGATATAACGATATAATTTTACGGCTCCTTTGGCATATCGTTATATCGGGGTTCTACTATATTTTTTACACATTTACCTTCAAAATACTGAAAAATCGGCGGGCTTCTAATAACTTCATCTTTTCCGAGCAAAAATTGTCCTCTGTGCTTGCTGGCTATGAAAAGTCATTAGAGTGAAAAAGGGCTATGAACCTCGTACGAGTCGTTAGCGTGGCAGACATTCGCGTAGTCTACTGCAAGTTTGAATCAAAACAAGCGAACTCGGCAAAAACTCTATTTGGGCCACGCCCAAATAATGATGAAAAATCGTGGTCTAAGGCGCACTAAGTTTCGGAAGTGTATCGACGAGGAAGTCTTGACATCAGTTCGCACTATTATTACGTTACTATAGGCAACAATCTCAACAAGTAAATGATCTAACAAGAATGACATGCTTGATCTTCCCAATAATAATCCCACTTTCCACGGTGTTTTTAAAAATCATTTGGCAGTAAGTGACAAATGTACTCAGCTCAGAGAGGACCATCAGAGAGATAGCAGAACATATCTTCTCAACCTCTGATCGTAATTGTACTCTGGGTATCGTTTACCCTCACCACTTCTGTGCTAGAGGAAACTCATGAGTCAATATCCCAATTGTCTTGGCATCCTTGTATACTGCCCAACAATACAATTTTTTGCTGAGGTACATACTGGTGCCCATCATGCCGCACTCCATTATCAAATGGAAAAGTCGGGACTGATTAACGACTACGAAATCCACGTGACGGCTGCGATCGTAAATTGCAATCCTTGCTTTTTCGGGATTGTAATCGTCGCTGACGTATCCGTTTCCATCAAGGCAGCTTCCATGTGCAATCAATCCCTCAAAGGTTTGCAGTTTTACAATAAAACGACTTCCATCTCTAGGGGGAGGGGACGCATAAGCTGGTCCGGTAGGTTCCAGACCAGGATGTGTTGAAGAAATAATAGAATAAGGTGTATCAAATGAGAAGGAAACTTCGATAACATTACGGTGACCTGCAGCTTCGCACATGTACTTATGTCTTTCCCAGTGCAGTTTCTGGCACCGTTTCCCGCAATACTTTGCCGTCATGCATCGTTGGCAAGTTTTTAAGGGAACGTCGCTTCGAAAGCAGTAGGCGCAGGAAAGGTTCAATTCAGTACGTTTCACCTGGTTTTGATTTCTGCAATTTTGAAAACATCGATTACTGGAAATGAACTTGCACTTCACAACATTTGGTATTGACATTTCAACATCAATCACCACATTACTTTGTAGTTCTCCCCCTGAATGATCCTGCCTCTCATTCTGTCCATACAGTTTTTTCAGTCCTTCGAGACGCTGATTTATAAAACTGGGTTTCAGCTCACTTGGAAAAGAATAAAATTCAAAATAGCGTAAACCTTCGTGGAAGGCTGGCCCACAGTTTCCATGAATAACATTGTTTTCAATCACACAGGAAAGCTTGCCTGGACTCTGTTTGCCCACTCTTAGTCCGCCCATTTTATTGTTGCAAATAGTATTCCCCTCGTAATAGCCACCAGAATTGCACTGCACCCATACTCCCCACCAGTAGTTTTCAAACACCATGTTCCTCTGAAAAAGCACGCAATTTGCGCAAAAAGATACACGGACACCAAACCCTCCATTGTGGTAAATTTTGTTCTCTTGTATATTAACTACGTCTGAGGTCGTATCTGGATGTCCAGCAACAATGATACCCTCGTACCTGTTGTCATAAATATCACAACGTGTCACTTGGGCCTCTTTAGCTAACACACCTTCTATCCGAGTGCCATCGACGTGGATGCCTTCAGTGTTTCCATAAATAAGACACTCCTGGACAGCCAGACTTCCTTGGTGCAGTACTTTGATTCCAGCTGAAAGGGTTGGTTTGCTGCCGTTACCACTTACGTGACATTTTATCAAGGTGCCAAATGCGGAAGATCCACACACTACTATGCCCCCACCCTTACTGTCTTTTATTTTGCATTCCAACAAAACAGCCTTTCCATTAACTTTAACTGCTGGCTTGTCAGTTGAGGTGGAGTGGAATGTGCAATGATTGAATTCGACAATTGCATTGGAGTGTACAGCAACAGAAACCTTCGACTGAAAGCTTAGGTTTTGAAAATCACAAATCCCTTCGACCAGCAGTAAATTACTTGCCAATGTAACGGCCGCATTATTACTAACTGCAACAAGACTCGTATTCAGGATTGAAAAAAAGTCCTTTCTGATCTCATAGAGGTTATTTTTTAACAACAAAATGGCTTTTCCTGCGAAATAATTCATGTTTTGGTTTAAAGCCTCGTGAAGTGTTTCTGTTGATTCAACAACAGTCCAGTGTCCGTCCAAATCCTTAAAAACACTGATAAAATCCCCATAAAGGCGACAACTTCTTGCATCGTGATAATATGCAATGGCTGCGCAGCAACGGGCAGAACGATTCTCTCCAAGCCCATTTAAAGCTAAAGCCTTCCTTGTGTATCCTTTCCAACACTTTGGCCGAGTGTTAATGTACTCCTGGGAATCTTGAAGACATTCTTCGTATTTGGCAAGCTTGAGATACGCAGTTGCGCGGTTGTTAAGTAGCCGAGGGTCAAGATGTTTTGTTCCCTTGCTTGCCTCAAGTGCTTCCGTGTACGTCTTGACTGCTTCATTAAAACGCCCTTCTTTAAAAAATTTGTTTCCTCGTATACGCTTCTCATCTTCCAAATCGTGCTGATGCTCTTTGTAATTTGCACATTTCGGGATCTCAACCGAAGGTCGAGATGAGTACAGAATAGTTTTTTGGATGAATTGGGGAAGAGGCAGAGTGTGTGGAAACAATTTTCGTACCTCCTCGGTACCCGAGGCCACATTAGTACTTGTGCTAGAATCCATGATTTGAAATGCAAAATGTTCCGTTTCCTTTGCCTTCTGCTGGTGACCATAGACACTCAACTTCACTGCGTTTTCGTACACAATGCGAGAAGTCTCAGGTGTTAAAACCATTAGCTTAACATCCCTTTCGATGCCTTGCTGATTAAGGAAGGTTTTCACGTGTTGTTGCACCTCTGAAGCATGACTGGTTAACCTTGACCAAAGGTGGAACCGCGAAGGGTTAGTCACAACAGAGGAGGGTTGTTTCTTTACACTTTTTGTAACATCCAAAATGATCTGATCGGGTGACGGGCAGTCACGAAAAGATTGATGAAGAATTTTTACCGCTCCGTGTAATGACAAGGCAACTTCTTCAACGGTCATTCTGTTGCGAATAACCTCCTGAACGAGACGATGTAAACTGAGGGATTTTGTACTTTTTCTTTGAAAAAGTGAGAACTTAGTTAAAATTTCGGCTATGTGGTTTTTTATCAGAGGAAGGTACGAGTTTTTACAGGATGGATCGTCAACAGAAAGCAGCGGTGGGACAATAAGCTCTTCAGGAATTTCAGTGGGTTCTAAAAACGCTGCGATGTGCATGAAACGTGATGCCATTGGTCCATGAGGCGATCTTTTGACGTATTCAAAGTTCATAAGCCATGTGGTGTGCACTGCCAGTCGACTTTTAGACTCGTAATCCCAGGCTGGTTTTGAACGCGGATGCTGAGATAACAAATTCACTCGCTGAACTTTGTATTCCTGGAGATAGTTACTGATAGAGCACTCAAGGGCTTTGATATGGGCACCAGCTTGTTCTAACGCGAGAGGAAGGCAACCAAGTTCTTGTAGCAGTTCATCTAACTGCTCTTCACTTTCATCTGCGGTTTCACCACATCGGGAAATAAGGAATCGCTTTGCATCGTTTTTTGGAAGGGCGGAGATTTCAAAACAGCACGTTAGCTCAAGATCAATAGCCTCGCAAACTTCTTTTGGTTCACGTCTTGTTGTTAGTAGCACATGACCACCTGCTTGCCTTTTCCACATACCAGAGAGAACCTTGTGCATTTGCTCGGAGAGGACTAACTGGTCCACGTCATCAAGAACCAACAACCAGGGCTTTTTCCGTCCGGAGATCCATGTCAATATTTTTGACAATGTCAAATCGAATGAATTTGCCAGAATTCCTAGCCGCAACGCGAGTTCAGCGACAGAATTCTCAAACTTTTTGTCGTCCTCCAAGGAGAACCAAAATACCCCTCCCTCATATTGCGTCTTGCGTTTCCAGGAAAGGTGAGTTGCCAAAGCGGTTTTTCCACAACCTCCAAGACCACACAAAGCACACATCTTAAGTCTTCCAATTTCATCCACTGAAAGGCATTTTTCAATTCTCTCCAATTCGTTCTCTCTTCCTACAAACCATTTGTTACGCACAGGGGCATCAAACACAGGCTGATAATAATCTTCGCAAGATGACCTGCTGTTTGCTATTGCCGTCAACTTTTCTAGATCTTTTTGCACAAATGAGCTTCTGTTTTCCAACTCTCTGTAGCTGCGTTTCAATTCCTGTGTCGTTTCCCAGTGCATCTTCTCTTCTTTTTTTATCCGCACTATTTCTTGTTTCATCAAATCTTGATTGTCTCGAAGTCCCTCACAAGTTTTCTCTAAAACAGATTGCTTTTGTTGAATTGAGACAACAGCCCCATCTAATACTGACTTGAATAAATCAATGGTAACGCATATCTTCTTATATTGCTCTTCTCTGTATTCATTTAAGGAATCAGAAAGCAACTGCACATCCTGGCGTATGAATTGTAGCACGGCGTTATCTACTGGTTTACCAAGGCATATCTCAAGCCCTGCGGCAAACAGAAAGCAAACATAGGTCAGGGGGAATAGAAGCTTGCAAAACGGTAACGAACAGGTTTTAAGAAAAGGATGGATTGTGTTCCTGAAACTTCAGTTAATTCAAAGGAAGAATGCAGTTGAACCTCAACATTAATCTAGAGGTTCCATATTGGAAGTGGAATGCTGCCCCATGCAGAAAGATCAAGGGGTTGACCGGTAGTAAATAATATATTGTATCCCAGTTGTGGATATCACATGGTCTTCAGGATCGTATAAGATAAAAAAGGAGTAATGATGATGTCTAAAATACAATATGGACAATTGTGAAGTTGAATTCTGTTGTATCTTTTAAGGTCGTTTTTATCTTGATGTGTGACTATAATTCGGAACCTGCTTATTCTTAGAATTAGTTTCAAATAAAAACAAACACAAAACATTATGCAAGCAATGAATGCCCAAAAGATTTTAATCCCATGATTCAACAAGCATTAATATATCTCAATAATTATTATCCGTATGTTTTTTAAAGTAAACACTGTACAATGAAAGGTTGTATGTAAAATGCATACTTTAAAATCAGGATGGATTGTTGTTGACAAATACACAATAAAGACTTACGTACAGTGAAATATTCGAAACAAGGTTTAAAGCATCTTCGATTTTGTGAATTGTCACTGAATTGTACTTATTCGTTTTTATTGTATTCATTCTTTTACTTCATGAGATCAATACAAATAAGTATTTTAAATGAACAGAAAACCTTAATTCAGTTTGCCCACCACGGTGGGCAATTCGCTTACTTCATTCGCCTCGTTTCCGGGGCAATTTATGACCTCAATTGTAATTCAGTTTGTTCGCCTCGTTGCTCCATTCACCTCCTTAGAAAAAGTAGTGACCTACAATAGGAACGTTATCTGCTAAAAACGGTTCTGCTGAGTTGATTGTCTAGGGCGCTTTGAAACAAACTGTTTCCTCGTGACAAGATTTCATCGATTGTGTTCGTGATCCACCGCGATCCACAGCTGATAACTGGTTGGGCTTATGAAACGACAGTGCTGTGAAACAACTGAAAGAACATTGTCTTCCCCTCGAATCTTCACTTAAACTTTCGCTACCTTCCCAAAATACTTCACTTTACAAATGACATGAGCAGCAAATGAATAACCTACTGGCTGCGTACGTTGCAGAAAATATTAAACTTTCCCTCGCACTCACGTCCGACTTTCGACTTCAACCTTATATATAACACACGAATATCTAACCAAGAGGTCGCAGATTCAAGAGTATTAAGAAACTCTATAACAAGTTTATCGCAATTTCCTTTTGCGTATCCAGAAAGAATCACAGACTTTCACTCTCTTAGCGCCCACAAAATTCTCGGATAAACTTTCGGCCGCCATTTTACTTTGCTGCAAAGGGTGCTACGCGGCGGGAATTGGGAACTGCTAACAAACAGCGAAACAAACTTCCAAACAAACTAGACAAAAATAGGTAGCCGCCCTGTGCGGGCATCATTTAACTGGGAAATAGTTTACTTTCTTAGATGATTTCCCTTCTCTACGAGGGGAAAATCAGTGTCAGAATTGTCTGGGCCTTAGTTTTACTTGTTGTGCGTTTTAATTCTATTAGGCAGTCATTTTTCACGAAAGTATATGTATCATTAAGGCGTAAAGTATACAGTAACAATACGTACCATGATTTTTCCACAATTTAAGATCACCCAGAGTTCTTTCCTCCTCGGAGTTCACGAATCCCAGGTTCTTGACCAGGTTCTCCATGAGATCAAAGCAAGTGTCGTAGTGTGCCTCAGTCCAGGCCATGAAATCGCAGTGTGCCCATTCATTTCGAACGTTTGACCTGACACCCTCAGCAATCGCTTGGACAGACACGAACGGTAAGGCTCCACAGAGAACAGCAAGGGCTGCTGACGAGTCAAAGGAACTGTTAAACGCATTAAACTGCGCCATGAAAGGTTTCATGAAGAGCTTGGCCAAAGACACTTCATCCTTTACACAGTAGTCGTAGAGACGACGGTGCGTGGCAGTGTGGTTGTTGTTGATACTTTCATAGTTTAAGTTTACCGTGGAAGGTGGAATGTTCTTCAAGAACTTCGGGTACGTCTGTTTGTCCAGTCCAAAGTGCCGCACCAAATGCTGGTAGAATGGAGTCATTTCGGCTTTGATTTTATCTCTGAGGCATGGAGTGAGGACATGATGAAGGGCAATACCAACCACTAACCATCGGCGCTGTTCCTGGGACGTCCCTGTTAAGGAAGCCATTTCTTCTTTTTACTGTTTTGCCTTAATTTGGAAAAATTAAAGAAAAACTTCAGAAGAAAGCATATGATAAACTAAACAAATTACTTTGTTATTATGGTAAATAACGGTGTTGGGACCTAAGGTGTCTGTCCGCCATCTTGGATTTACGATTGAACTGTAAAATAAGTTTTTAATGAATAGTTTGCTACCGCAAGTATTACCTTTATGGTTTCTTTTTTGCTCCCACCCCTTTTTTATTTCAAAAAGAGGCCCCCTGTCCCCCTCCCAGGTCTGTGTTTTAAGAAGGTTTTCTCACACACTGGGAAGAGTTGTACCGTCCCTTATCTCTGTTCAGGGCCGGACCCTTGAGCGCCTGATGTAGATGGCTCAACCTTTACTCCTCGCCTAAACCAGTCAGGCTCTACAATCAATATCTTGGTATTCTCCAGTTCTGTCGTTTGTCCAAAGTGATCAATGTTAACGTGGTGGGAGACATCAGATATGGTGGTACTGCATCTCCTGTGTTCTGAACATCTTTCCTTCAAGGATCTTTCTGTTTCCCCAGCATTAAGGAGGCCTAAAATGTGTCATGTTGTATGTAATACTCTGGACCCACCACCTCCTCTTTCTGGATCTTATCCTTAATAATTGCCTAAAGGTGTCGCGGCTTGAAGTATAGGGGGACCCCATACTGCTTGAATACTCTCAGCTCCTGAGGTTCTCACACACGCCCTTTACATACGGTATCACCACTAGAAACTACTGGTCTTTCCCTTCACTGTCTCATCCTTTCCTTTCTCTTCCTCCCGTTTATAAGGGTCTGGTGTTCCAGAGGCATCCAAACCAGGGGTTTCGACCTGCTTTGTCAGGGGTTCGTCAGTTATCGAGGCTAGGCAATTGTCTATTCTCAGTGCTTGCCTGATGTGGTCTCTCTCTTTCTTAGATCTTCGGGGTCACTGACAATTCTGCTCGGTGAATTGTGCATCAGGGTTCTAACAACACCCCTCTTATGTTCTAGTAGGTGCTTACTATTATTAACGTTTAAGTACTGATCAGTGTGAGATCGAACCATCTTCATGTAAGACAGTCACAATGCCCAGAAAAGCCAGTGAATGTTCTTTCGTTCCCCTCTACGCAATCCTTCTCATGTTCTTGACTTCCTCTTCAGTGATTCACTTAATGTTTTCATCAATTCTGTTGATGTGTTCTGTGAAGCCCTGTGAATATTCTTTCTTCAGAATGGTGTGCGTATCGTCCACATACCTCTTCCACCAGTTCAGGAGAGGGTCAGCCGTGGCTAGAGCTTTCTGTTCGAACGACTCCATATACACGTTGCAGACAATGGGGAACAAAGTGAAACCCATAGCAGCACGATGAACCTGAAGGTAGAACTCACCAACAAACCGAAAATAGGTACATTTCAAGCACAACTCCAACAGTCTGATGACGTCTTAGTGCCTCTCAGCAATGATATAATCTTAGCACGTTATGCGATGGGTACGCCATCTGCCGGCGCAGAGGTAAACAAGACTTCAGTTGAGGTCGAAAGCTCTTATTAGTTTTCAATTTTATCCGGATCCAAGTTTATAATTTTGCTCATTGTTTAAATCTACCGGATAGATGAATCTACACAAGTTTAATTTTCTTGTTTACAAACAATATGTGGCGTAACAGGTAAAAGGTCCTTATTTATTTTGGAACGTAAAGTATGACATAGGGTTAGGCTGGGTTTCTCCGATCCATGTGAAGCCCCTGTTTAAACCGTGAGAAAATGTCCCTACGGTGAGTTTCTAGTTAAACTGGACTGTATTCTTTTATAACTTTTAAGCGATGACTTATCGTTTGATCATGTATACAAAACTTGGTAAGTCGTATGTTAAATAATATCACTGGTGTTTGGTATTGGGCAAAGTAAAAACCATAATCCTCTTGAGATTTTTCTTTCATTTTGGGAAGCTTTTCTCTTATAACTTTTCGTTTTTCATTTTATATTTAGGAAATGAGACTTCTAGCATCAAGAAAAAACGCAAGATGTTGGTAAGATTCGTGTGCAACGGGCCTGCATGGAAATATTTAATAACAGCATTTTCACAAACTATTCAGTTGGGTAAATAGGCAAGTGTTTAACTAGTGAAAAAGTGGGCTCAGACGCCAGAAAAGTTTGGTACTTAGAGAGATTTTACTTGACCCGTGAAACAGTTAGTAACAACTACTGCAACTAGATGCAACCATTCTGGGTTAAAAAGAGAAAACACTAATTTAAAATCGCATTTTCATTCAACATTTACTACAAAAACAACAACAACAACAAAAAAAACAACTGACAAAGCTACACTGCCGTCATGAATCAAACAATGACATACTGAGCAGAGAAAACTGCCAAAAAACACATTCTTCTTGCTTAACTCACCATTGAAAACTGGCACACTTTAGCTGGTTTGAGTTTTGTATTTGGTGGTGCAGCACTGTCGATAACTTCAGCAATTTTATCCTCTTCAGCCTCGGAAAATCTCGAAGTCGAAGCCGTGTTGAACACTGCAGCAGTTTTTATGCGTTATTGTCAATAAAGCACCGTCAATTTGATGTCGCTAGGTAACGGAAACTCATGTGACCAATTTTAACTAATGAGGTGGGCGGATTTTTGACAGTGAACGAAGATTGTAAATGTTGATATTGGCTAAGATTGTTTTTGAGTTTTCATGGAAAGGGATGATGATGTCATGGTCAATAAAAGCTTGGTCAATAAAGGATTTATCTTATGGCTAAGACATTTCATTTCTTGCATGAACGAAGCGAGAAATCCCAAGCGGGCAAGATGCTTGGATACCCTATAGGAGCACTTGACTATAGTCTCCTACGCAGACGTTCTTAGAGGTTTATAGTGCGTTCCTGCCCCACAACAGATGGAAGGATTGGGTGACAAGCAAAAATAACGTCTGCGTGAAAGGCTAACTTGAGTAAGGATTCAATTTATGTTGCCTGCTCAAGGAACCAGCCATGCATATAAATGATAAAAGCGCAGCCCAAGATATGAATAAAAGTACCGTAAAATTTCGAAAATAACCCCCTCAATGTTTAAGCCCCTCCAAATATAAGCCACCCAAAATCGTAACATAAAAAACCCTCCGTTAAATCGCCCCTCCGAATATAAGCCCCGCCGGGGGCTTGTACTTGGAATTTGCCCTCGAATACATGGCTTTGTATTCTCTATACTGACGTATCGGCCTTTCTCGGCTATGATTTGATTTAGTCAAGAATTTGTTCGGTTATCGAACAAAATTGAAAGGTTTAGCTCCACTTTCTTGTTCCACTTGATCGAAAGAAGTCCGTGTTCGATTTTATTCGATTGTAGAAATCAATCGAATTCAAACGAAGGATGATTGATTGCATAGTTGCCACACAATTTGTCCTACGGTTTTTGTTCACTAATTTTATTAAGACAGCACTTTAAGGTATCATGGTAAAAAATCATCATTTTTCGAAATTTCCAGTTTTTAGATGATTAAATAGAGCTCATCAAGAGATTTCTTTTAAAAAAATTCCAAAAAAAGAAATGTTTTTCTATGCAGACTTATGGAGCGCAAAAGTTTTTTCTATGCTAATTATTTTAATTGATCGTTGATAAGTCCTGTCATACTAGATTAGCTCTCTCTTACGCTGCGATCTGGTCTTTTTTTAGGCATGTTTGTCGACCTGTAAAGCAGTTTTTCGAAGTATTATTCAAACAGGATATATAACGGTTACAGAATATACGGAATGTTCAAGAGAAAGTTATAAAGTTACTAAGTTAACCTGTTTGCATTCCTCGCGTCCGCTCCGAGCGTTACCTTTTCCTGCTGTGTCACTATTGTTGTGCCTTCTCTGGTATGCATCAACATTGACAGCTTTGGTGTTATAATCTGTTTTAGTAGAATTATATTGATGATTATTGAAAATAGAGCGCTATGATTGGCTAGGAGCTTCGCTTTATCCCGCTATAATCACCGCGAGGTGATTATAACATTGAAGGCTAGCAGTTTTCAAAATGGCAGCCAGATTTTTTGACGTTTCGGAGTCTGATATTGATCAATAATTTCATTTTCTCGAATAATCATCAGTGTAATTATACTAAAACAATTAGTCGCCTGAGGCGACTAATTGTTAAATAATCTCGTCACGGGCAATAAGCCACCAAAATCTCGAAATGAAAATCAGGGCAAGTTGAGGGTACGTTTTTAATTCCAAGTCGGCAACCCGAGAACCAATTTGGCTGAAATTTGGCCAACTTACTGTCAGGTAGCTTTTCTAAAAAACTGAGTCTGCGAATTTTGATTTCTTTTTTCGTTTTCGAGTTGGAGTATTTTTTCACAGGTAGTGCTAATGAATTGCTATCCCTAACTTCAACCGCTTATAACAAAAGAACAAACGCACTTGACAAAATCTGAGACACGGTGTTTTGGTCAAACGTGTTAAGAAGCGAATACGATGTTAACTGGCTTCTTCCGTTTTCTTTTGGCTTGTCTGGACGTAAATTTACTGTGACACCCACTTTCACAAAAAGCTTCTCATTTCTGAATCGCGTTAATATTTTGATTTTTTAAAAGGAATAAGCAGTAATCTGGAACTATTAAGCTTTCAGAAAATGTACAGCTTATGGGAGTATTTATTCAAAGCAAAAGCGCTAGCGCCGATCAACACGATGAGGGTGCTTGAGCGTGGATGATACCTTAAGCTAAAATTTAATGAACGACCCAAAGAGGCCGTACGAGAGGTCACTGACGGGTGTGTGGGACTAGTGTCATCGTTTTGGGCCACACTTCGCAAAGATAAACCATTCCTTTTTAGAAATTTATTTCTCAAAGAATAAGTAACTTTGCAAAATCAAAATTACACAGGTTTATCAAGCGAGAGCTGAGCTTTCAGAAAATTTATATCCAAAGTGTCAATTTTCACAACTAAGGTGTGATTTTCGATTAATATCGCAGGCTCAAATAATTAAGAATTGCATATTTCTGGATTTCCCTCAATAACTAGGAATAAAAAAAAATTGGAACTGACTTATACTTAGATTCGTCGCGCTGCGCTGTTTCCTTCGTCGCAATCTTGAATTCTTACGAGTAAACCGCTGTTCTTAATTATGTTTGTTGTGACACTGACCAGATTGCGGCACGGAACGTGGCGAGAATGCGAAAATCTTCGTTTGAACTCATTTGGTGACGTGCTCTCAATAAGGCGTCGTGACCATTTTTTTAGCCTCAGCAACGTGCTAATTTACATAATAAGTCTGCGGCCTTATCTCTTATCGACCTTGCAATATCTAAAGTGTCTCCATACGTCTTTTTACAGCCATAGAAATGATTTAGAAATATCAAAACAATTGTACTATATTTGGGGAAGCAGAATGTAAGCGAATTTTGCAATCATTTACCCTAGTTTACTTGAAACTCTAACGCATTATCGCGTGTTGGGTTGTGAACATTGCAACATTTCTGTCAACAGCGGAAAGTATCGCGTCGGATTTCAGCCCTGTGATTATTAATAGTTCCAAAATAGCGCTCTTAGATACCAACTTTGGCCTTCATTTTCTCGGCTTCTATGGAACGGAAATGCTTAATTTTTGGAATTTGAGTTCAGGTTAGGAGTACATTTTAAATAAGCGATTTTATAAGCATGATCATTTTTTGACTTTATAACAGTTCTAATCACAGTCCTTAAGACGGACGTAAAACGGACGTAAAACCGTAGGTTTTCCGTTAATAGTTGTAACTATATCATGAGGATTTGTGAATTCATTAATTCTTCAATGCTATAAGCATTCACTTACCCAATAAAGTTCTTATGTTTGTCTATTTCTTCCGGGTGAAGGATTTATCGATTCGACTCTGGAATCCAACTTTATGTACTAACACATCAGGAAACACGTCTTTGAAAAGCTTTTCACACGAGTTTCACGTAGCATGATATGGAAGGTTTTCTTTCGTGAGACTTGTCCGAGAATTCTTGGGAAGAGACGGATATCGTTAAATCCAAAGAATTCCGCAAGAATTGTTATCACCAACTTCAAGGTAGTGTTGTTAACCACGTGACAGAATTAACATCCGGGACATTTTTGTCACGCCACAAAAATTAACATTCCCCGGCGGACATTCCCAGTGTATAATAAAACTAGTAATAGTTCACACTACAGCTGCCCCCGCTCTGTATATTGTCGGTCAATAGTTTTCTTGCTCGTTGTGTAGCTGTTTGAAATATACCGATTCATAATGATGATTTTCACACATATTCCATACAACAGGTGAGATAAATACAGGAAACGCAAGGTTCCATGCACATTTTCAGTTCGATT